ACTGAAGAAAACGCCCTTCCTTAAGTCGTTTCATTGAGATATTTTATCACAGCAATGAAAAAAGGAATGTGCATGTGTGCTCTGGCAGAAAAGAGCAGGTCTGGACATTCATTCAAAAGTAGTAAGGTATAAATAAAACAATAAACCAACATGACATAACTGGTATTTATAGAACATTGTACCCAACAACCTTCTTTTCAAATACATGTAAGACATTTACCAAGCTCACATTTGGAGCTATAAAACAAATTTCAATGAATTTAAAACAATCACATCTCACTGAAATTAACAGAAATCTCTGGAAGATCCTAAAACTTGTAAACAAACTTCTCAATAATCCCAGATCAAAGAGATACCAGAAGCCACACACAGCTGTGTTTGCCTTCAGCTCCAGATACTCCTAAGAGTGACTAAAAGGATCCCCTCAGCCCAGAGGTTAGAGGCTAACCTGGGAAACAACAGAATCCCAAGGTCCCCAAAATAGAAAAATGTGGAAGTAACCAATTTAAGCAGTCAGAATTTCTAGTATGGTTATAATGAAATCAAATGATCTCAGCTTCTAGCTTCAGAGATTAGAGAAAACGAAGTACACCCAAAGAAAACAATGAGCAGCAGAGAAGAAACAAGGCCTTTAAAAGCAGAAAACGCAGAGGAAATCAGTTAAACTAGAGGCTGCTAATGAGATTCATCCTCAGTAATAAAAAGAAAACCAAATCCCCAACTGATTTTTGCTCATGAAATGCAATGTGAAATACATTTCAAAGCAAAACATAAATTTAGAAAGAAAATACTACAAAAATCTTTGATTCACTTCACTATTGATCATGATTATTAATTGACTATATAGACTGACATATTTTTCCAACAAAATCTGTTGAATTCGGTTACCAACACAAATTCAGTATCATTTTACTTGTATTCTAATTCTGAAGCCTATGAAAATTTCCAAGCTGTAATTCTCCTTATTAACTTAAAAATTAAAAACTTGCATATCCAATAGTAAAAGTAGTTAAGTAAATTATATGGAAAACACGGATGAGAATCAACATATTAAACCAGTAACACTGCAGAAAACAATGGCAAGAAAGCAAGCTGACGAACTGCTGTTAAAGACGCACAGCCGTTTACACTGGAGTAGGCGGTGCCCTCTATACAGCCATGGGTCTGTGAGTGTGCATAATAAACTCATGCAAGGCTTAAGCACAGTGGAGGAAAAGGTAACAGAAAAATAATAATGGCTCCTCTGGGTGATAGGATTTTCAGCAGTATTTTAAATTCTTAAAACTATGCTTTTTGTTGTGGTTTCTATGTTTTCCAAATTTCCATACAGGGATGTGCTGCATTTATAATCAAAGGCTGAAAATTAAGAAAGTAAGTCAACTACTGAACAGTAAGTTATATTTCAATACAAATAATAAACTCTTAGCTAGGCACGTGGCTTAGGTTACAATTACAACTTTATTTGTGCCTCGTTTCCTAAATACAAAAACCTTTTAAGTTAAGTATGGCATATCCCAGTACTAAAGAAGTCAGAGCAGAAGGATTGATTCAGAGGACAAGACAAGCCTGGATTACATAGCAAGACTCTGTCTCAAATCCGAACACAAACAAAAACAAAAAGGGAATCAATTTGAGGTCTTGTTTTCTACTACTTATAATGAAAATTAAAAATAAAAGATATTCAATTAAACATGAGCTCTTTTAAGAAGCAGAGTATTTGTTGAACTCAGGGGTCCACTTTTGATTCTAGCACTCACCATATAAATAAAAGAGATCTTACCAAAAAAAATAAATATTTAAAATACAGAGCATTTAAAAAAAATTTAAATCCACTAGGGTATGGAAAGATGGGCCACTGGTTAAGAGCACTGGCTGCTCTTCCAGAGGAGCGGGGGTCAATTCCCAGCACCCACATGGCAGTTCACAAGCATCTCTAACTCCAGTTCTCAGGGGACCTGACACTCTTCTAGCTCCCAAGAGAGCCACACTGACATGGTGCACAGACATACATGTAGACAAAACATCCAAACACATAAAATAAAATTTTAAAATAAATAGTCCTTTTCAAAAAATCAAAACAATAAAAATGTACGCTCTATAAATGATTTCTTTTTGTAGAATGACAGGACAGACTTAAAATAATAAGACAAAGTATTTCTTCGTGAATTATACAACTAACATGATAACTCAGAATTAAAACTGTGAGGATAAATTGTTTAGGTAATTTAATATTTGCAGAGTAAAGCATGGAGAAAACAGAACTTCTTTATCCACTTAATTTATGGGAATTACATATATCAGGGATATTAAAAATGGTTTTAAAGAAATCTATAAATGCCATTATGTAATTAAGCCAATTAGTAAGGATTAAATTGTTCTTACACTTAACGGTGTTGAGTTGATAATTCGTTCAACTCTACCAACAATTTAATGGTCAGAAAGGGAGAAAATACAGTTGATGTACTGTCTACAAGGGATCTACATCAAAAAAGATGCTGCAACGTCTGCAGATATTCTAAAGGAACAGTCACAAAGATAGTTGTGCTATGAAATGTGAAACGTAAAGATAATGTGTTCCCTACAATGTTTTATTAAAAAATTCAGAACAAATAAATAGTTTACCTGACACAGAAGTATAAGTAAAATAAGGAGCGGAAGCATTTAATGCTGTGCTCTAGGGAAAGGGTAAGAAAGGAAAAAACTTTCTTTTATTATTAGCAAAACCTGCCCGACGTGTTTGATAATGGACAGCAGTTCACTGACAAATATAGTTCTTAGTTTCATATTTCTAACAACCTTGAAATCAATATATAATTAGTTTATAATGATCAAATAAAACAGCAAAAGGCTCTCTCCAGAGGGAAAGCTAAACTAAGTCATGTACACAGATAAACAGCACCACCGCAGAGACACCTGCTGTATGGTTGCAGCTGACTCCTTCGCGTGAAGAAGTCTGAGCTTTCTGGTTTGCTTTTCTCTCCTTTCTTAACTAGATAGAGGCTGAGATACCTATTCACCCTCGAGGACCCAAACTTGAGATCCTATAATTGGGCCCCTAAGAGTGCTATAGCAAATGTTAAAACTTAAGTCTCTGTGCCAAATTCACACCAGTCTGAACTCCCTTCAAACATTGGGGAGTGGGGAGTGTAGGGGGTTATATCCTAAGGTTTATATCAGATGTTGAAACTCTATGACATATTCTAATCATTTCTATCCTGGGGAGTGGGGTACAGTTGAGACAAACTGGCAGAACAATCGTTCAAGAACTCAATAACTGGCCAAGCATAACCCCAACGTTAAGGCTCAGTAAGGCAGGAGATTCTGTACCTCCAGACAAATCTGGACTTCATACTAAGACTCCCCAACATCCCCACAAAAAGCTACCTAAAACTCAATAATTCAGCTTTGAAGGCTAAAATGAACATACTTATAATTCACAGAAGAAGATGGAGAAAGCTACACATCCAATTGTTAATTCTGGAGAAAGTTAGGAGGTAAAAGTAGAAAGGTATACTCAGTGTGGGCACACACCTGTAATCCTAGTACTCAGGAAGCTGAAGCAGGAGGATTATCATTAGTTCAAGGCCAGTTGAGAGTACAGGGAAAGTTCCAGGACAGCTTGAGAGCCTGTCTCAACAACAACCACGGCAGACAGCCTCACTTCCGTGATTCACTGGCTTACAAGACTGGAAAGAGGGGGACACCCGTGAAGTGCAAATGAATCATGTGCACTAGAGTGACGACCAGCAACAAACAGAAGCAACACAGATATCCTAGCCTACAAAATAAAAATACTACTACTATTAACGAAAATCTTTATAGCAACTAGCTTCTACCCAGTACTATTGTACTATAGACAACACATAAAACATTTCATCTGAGTATTCCCCTCCTAAAACTGTACCCACTCTCACAAGACCCTTTCCACCTTAACCCTGTTGAAAAGGGTACAATGCATATTTACACAACCTATAATCATAAAAATGCTTACTTTCTTATATGTGCTTCTGAATTTTATTTTCCATACGAAATAATCCTCCCCCCACTTCACTGGGGTTCATGTCTGACCTCCTTAAAGGAAATAATGGCTGCCCATCAGAAGAGCACATTAAGCTAAACAATCTAGTCTATTAGCATTGAAAATACAGTGTTCAAACTTCCGAGGTAGGGATCGACAAAAGGAAAAAAAATATATGAACTACAGTTCCTGAAAAAATAAAAGGGAGCCACTACCCTATCAAAGGAGCATGATCCAACTGTGATGCCAGATATAGTTACCACTAAGTGACACCAAAGGAAAAAGAACAACCTTTGTGGTTTAAGTCGTGTGACTTCACCTTCTTAAAGTGGAAAGACCCAGCAAATTCATCCTAATCTTTTCTTCAGGTTATTCTTTCAAATATTAAGAAAAATATTGAAAATAATCAAAATTCCCTACAAAACAGGAAGGCAACAGCATATAAAGTATTTAAGTAATTTTTGTTGTTTATGAATCCATAAAACAAAAAATACTATAGACAACACATAAAACATTTCATCTTCCACCCTTTCCTCTTTAGATTTCTTCTCCCTTTCCCAAAATTATTGGTTTTCTAGTATTATTTTAGGACTTCCTTATACAGAAGAGCAATACAAACCTTATAGTTATTGCATGCTCCCTTAACACAGAAAACAACACACAGTTCACACCATTCTACTTGCTTTTTTAACTTTATGCCTAAGTTTTGCTTCGTTCTTTTTTCATAGGTGATCATGGCTAGTCCTGCAAACTAACCAATGTCACTCTAGTCAGTAAACTCTTGGCACATAAGGTTTCTTTCCCCTAAGATTTTAAAACAAACCAGATTTGAACTGTTCCGGGACACATGACTTATAGACAGCACTCATTAAGTTATAGCCTCTTAAGAATTTCTTTTCAATCAGCTATGAAAATGGATGTTCTACAACTTTTCTTCCCTCATCTCTTTTAAAGCTGTAACAACGCAATCGAGCGAAATTACCTTTCCTGTGATTTCGGGGATCGGTGCCGTAGTCAAATCAACAATGCCTTTAAAAGTTTCTTCTTGCGCTGTTCTTTCACTGAAAAAGAAAACACCGGGGTTTGTTGTTGTCTTCTTAAACGCGTCAAGAAAGCCTTTCAGGTGGTGGGGGTACGGCATTCTAATAGCAAAAGCCACCACCCGATCTGTCATCTGCCAGGTCGGAGGCCAAAGCTCTTCATCTTTCAGGATTCTACTGACTACCCGGGACTTGGACGGCGGCTGAGAACACCCACGGGAATATAAACTTCGTGGCGCTCCGTAGGATCCGAGCCAGGACCACGGCCGGGATGGTCAGCTCCGCCAGCGGAGAGCGGCGGAGCGGACGCCCGGGGCCCCGCGCAGCCCGCCGACCAAGCCCCGGAACAACGACCACTAACGGAACCAGCCCCGGGCGGCAGCGGCGGCCGCTCGGACCGCGGAGCGCGGCGCTCGCCGGCCGCCGCGAGGGCGGGGGCTCGGCGGAGGAGCTGGCCGTCCCATCGCCCCATTGGGCGCCGCTCCAAACGTGCCCGAGTGGTGACAGGAATAAAGTGGGTCACAAGGCCTAGCGGGTCCCGGGCGCGAGCCCTCTGGGCGGCCGAGTCGGCCTGTCACCGCGCCCAGCCTCCAGCGCGCGGCCGCCCCGGCGTCCCCCCACACACACCCCCGGGTCGCAGGACCCGCCGCGCCCCGCTGCCCCGCAGGTAACCCCGGCAGCCCGCGGACACTTCCCGCAGGCCCAGCTGAGCGCGACTCCGGGGAGCTCCGCGCTCGGCTAGCACCCAGATCCCGGCCGCAGCTCCCGTCTCCCGGCCTGGTTGCCGCCGCCGCCCCCCTCGCCCCCGGCCCCACACGCCGACCCCCGCGCCCGCCCGCGTCCTCACCGTGCGGCCGCCTGAGGCTCCGGCTTCCTCCCTCTCCCCCGAACCGGGACTCTGACCGCGGGGACTGGCGTCTGCCAGGCCGCAACGACCGGGAGCCGCCGCGGCCCCGGCAGCCAGCAGCACCTGGGGCGGCCGGTGCGCGCCCCCAGCCCACCCCTCCAAATTCACCGCTACTGTCGCGCTCCTCCCCCTCCCGGCCTTCCCCTCCTCCACCGGCTCCGGAAGCACGCATGCGCCGCCGAGGCCGGCCGCCCGCCCGCCCGCCGCGCGTCCGACCCGGGGCCCACCCTGTGGGGCGCACCTACCGGGAGCGCGCGCGGCGGCGGCGGCCAGATTTCCTTCGCGCTCTCGCCGTCCGGGCTTTCCTCTCCCCAGCCGGTAGCTGCCAGCCGAGTCCGTGATTGCGCTCCCTCCCGGCGCATGCGTCGTGGACGAGGGACTCCGCGGCCGGCCGGGCTCTGCACTCGCCCCTCCCCTCGCGGCCGCCTTCCCCAGCGCGCGCGGGCACGCGTGCGATTTTCCCCGTTAGGCTGCCCCGAGCCGTGCGGCGTCGCGCTGCTCCCGAGGATCCCGGGCGCCCGAGGAAAACCCCACTCCGGCGGGCCGGCGTCTGCTCGCTCTGCGGCCGCAGAGGGAAGCGGGGATGCCCCGGGGTCCCCTGTCCCGCGCGGGCCGGGAGGCGGGGCCTGGCGGAGGGTGCGGCCGCCGGCAGCGGTTTCGGTGGCTCTCGGTTTCCCGGGAGCAGCGCTCCCTGCCTCTGGGAGCCGCTGGCCCAACAGGGACCTCTGTCCCTGGAAAAGCAAAGAGCTTAGCTGATGCCAAGTGAAACTTCTCCAACCCGACTTGTAAGAGGTCGGCTTCCTCTCCTGGAGGTGCGTGGGCTGCGGGGACTCGGTTTCCAGCTGCTCCCCGGACGTGGACTTGGGCGACACAATTGACCTCGGCTGCAAAAGGTCGGAATGTGTTTGCTCATTTTATAAAATGGCAAGAGAACACTATAAAATCTGAGGATGGCTCCAGAGATGAACCAGGACCCCAACTTACACTTATTTCGTGGCCACTGCACCCGAATTATTGGGAAAGAGGCCTTTAGAGCCCTGATTCTTACTAATTTCTTTTTTAAAAATCATTTTGGACATGAAACAGACGGCAATAAATAAATCTGTACTCTTTAGTTTCCAAACCTCTCTTCAAGGTATGTCCACCTCAGTAAGAATTAAATTCTTGGTGTATGCTCAGAATAAAAGAACTTCAAACCGGGAGAATTTAGTTGCCAATTCTTCCAGCATTGTGAACGCTGAGGTAGGAGAATCCTCAAATTTCTGGCTAATCTGGGCTGCATAGCCAGAGCCTGTCCTGAGAATTTTCCCTTGATGGATGCTTTGTTCCTTTCGCCATCGAAAAAACCCTTATTGCACATTTCTGCTGTTCTGAAGGCAATGTGCTGCTCTGGTTCGTTTCCTCTAAACAACTTACCCATTCTCCACTCAGTCCCTGTGGGCCAGGCAGAACGCTGCGGAGGAGGAAACCTTTCTCTTTCAGCCTGACAGTTACTAACCAGAAGACTGGTTTCCAGTGGATTTGGATCTGGAAGAATAAAGCCTTTTCTTGTGTGACTAATGAAAAGGGAAGGAAAAAACAAAAAGGCAGAGTCAAAGATGGAGATGTAGCCTAGATGCTTGATGCCCGTCAGTGGGGGCTAGATTCCTCTGGAAATTTCAGTGAAGTAATAAATTCCCGAATGCGTGTGTTTTATTGCTGAAACCAATGAGATTTTATGCCACATGCAAGTTAGTGTCTTGACCACTCGTCGGTAGTGAAAGGAAGTAAGGTCAGAGTGCTGTTGAAGTAGGCTGCAGCCAGACCAGAGTCCGAGGGCTTTCCTAGGCTCAATGCTTCCGTTTTAGTCCAGAGACAGTCCCATTTTATATTCCATATTCTCTAGTACATATATCTTCACATCACCTTTGCCCTTGAAATGATTTCATTGTCCTCCTAGTCACCTCTGGCTCCTCCCTCTCACATTTTGGGTTTAATTATTTACCAAGACCTGTTGATAATCCCTTGATTTTCTCCTCAGTCCTCTGCCACTGTTTGAATATTTCCATGGTTCACTTTACAACTTTCCTTCCATATTCTCTTCAAGGGAGGGAGAAAAGCTTTGTCTCCCCAGGTTGAACATTCTGTGTTTCCATCAAACAAAAATTTTGCCTCATAGTTTTCATAAATACTAAATCAAGGCTCCCAATTTTAACCACATGTGTTAGTTAGGTATTCTGTAAACTCCCCTGTGCCTTGCTGCCATTTAAAATGATTTTTCTTGCTCAGGTCTTGTTTCGGAAGCTATACTGTTGAGACTTCATAGATATAGCTTCTCTGACATTTCTAGGAAATACAATCTCACGACAAACTTCCTGTTCCTCTGTCTCTCATAATCTTTCTGCCTCCTCTTCCACTGTGACCCCCGAGCCCTAGGTACAGAACTGTGTTGTAGATGTGTAAGTTGGGGATAAGTACCATACAGTTACTCATTCTTGCATTTTGATCTGTTGTGGTTTTCTGTAATAGTCTCCATTTGTTGCATAAAAAAGTTTGATAAAGGGTGAAACCTATACTTATCTGTGGGTATAATGATTAATATTTAGTATGTAGTTAGGACTCTTGCTGGATTGGTAATGTGGACCTTGTAGGTTCTCCATCAAGTTTCACAATGTCACTAGCACCAAGTCTCTGGCTAGGTTTCTAATACCAGGCATTATTTTCTTCTTGCTAAATGGGCCTTAAGTCCAGTGAAGGAGCTGGGTTTCAGCCAATGGATGTATGCTACTATGAAACTCGAAGGGATATTATTTGGCTATTTTAAAAATTAGTTTCCTTCCATGATTTCAGAGTCAACAATATAGACTTAAAATGTTATTAATTCTCCTTAAGCTGAAGGGACACAGAGTCAAGTAATTCCCCCGAGCTTCCGAGTATTACCCATAAAATACAAGGATAGGAATTCTGGAGATTGTGGCTTTAGGTGGTGAGAATGGTTGCTGTCCATCTTTACAGTCTGCCACTAGAGCCCAAGAAATGGTTCCATTGACTCAAGCATTTTGACTGCAGCTTCCAGTTCATCAGTTTTCATACACATGTCCAGTTACCTACTTGATGTCTTTTCTTGGGTGTCTCAAGTATGCCCCACAAACAGAAATATTCTTTTGAAATTGTGAGTGGTTAATAGTGGTACATACTTGTAATCCTAGCACCAGGGACACCAAGACAGAAGAATGGTGAGTTGAAGGTTAACCTAGGCTACCTAGCAGGACCCTGTCTTAAAAAAAAAGTGTGAGAGAAATTACATTGTATTCCTTCTAAAACATCTATTTGCAGTCCATCCGAATGCTTAACCATGGCCACGATCCCCTATTTGATCTGCCCCATGCCTGCCCTCCAACGTCATGGCCTACCATTTGCTCTCATGACATTCCAGAAACATCTTTTCAATTCCTTGCTAATTACCACCCACTTTCAGGCTTTGACTTGCCTGCTTTCTGCTGTGCCTATTCTTAAGCCTGCCTCCTCCACTTTGACGTGTCAAAGGAGCTTGGTATTTTAAAGGATCCCTACTCTTCTTCCACCTGCACAGTGCCCACCACTTCTCGGCTTATTCTTTCCCATAACACTTCCTAGTAGCATATGTATTTGTTTAATGTTCAATGTCTTACTAACCATCTCCCCTACCAGATGATACACTTCAAGAGGAAAGGGACCACATGCTTTATCTGTATCATTTATTTCAATATCTGAAGTGAATTGAGTGAGTGAGATTAGAGATGCTAGATTTTTATACCCCCATAGACTATGACTGGAGGCAGGTTGTCAAGAAGTAGCTCTAGATATGGATATAGAAGTGCAAAGCAGGGATAAACTGGAATTCACTGGGGAAGATCATGTGACTAGTACTGTTGTCCTGGTATTTGAGGATCCTGAAGAATGTGGAACACTTAGAATTATCTGTATAAGAACATGAGACTATAATAAAGTTACCACCTGTGTAAGAATGTGTGGCACTGTAAATAGGCAAGGCTGTCACCTGTGTAGGAGCATTCAACACAGGATTAGATGAGTTACTGTCTGTAAGAAGACGTGACAGTGACAAGAAAGCTACCACCTGTGTGTCAGGTGTCACACAGTAACAGGATGCTGCCACCAGTTTATGATGCTAAGTGAAGTCCAAAGGAGGGAACAGAGCGTCTAGTATCTCATTCCCTAAATAACTACCAGTATCTGATGCTCGAAACCTGCCCCTTCAGCTATGGTCAAAAGTAGTGGAAAGTGGATCTTTCATGGCCATCTCTAACTTCACACTCACGCACAGCACTTAAAAAAAGAGAAGTACCCGCCAGGCAGTGGTGGTGCACGCCTTTAATCTCAGCACTCAGAAGGCAGACAGATCTCTGTGAGTTTGAGGCCAGCCTAGTCTACAAGAGCGAGTTCCAGGACAGGCTCCAGAGAAACCCTGCCTCAACCCGAGAGCATCATTCACTGAAGCCACGTTGCTGCAGTGGTTGCCTCCTCTTCCTTCGTATGTGTGCGCGTGCGCGCGCGCGTGCATGTGTTTGCGCTAAGGCTCAAAGCGCTCTGCCCCTCAACTCCATCTCCAGCTATTGGCTCTTATTAAGAGAAGTCTCAATGTTTGTATGTAGCCCAGGCTGCCCTCAGACTTGTGTTCTTTACCTCTATATCTATGTCTACCCCTGAAGCCACATCTCCTTGAGTTCCTACTGAGTGCTGTCTTTTTCTTTACTCCCTTTTTCCTCCCATGTTAAGTGACTAAAGGCTTTAATAGTGTCAAATTGAAGGTGTCTCTAAATGTTGAGAGTTTAAAGGGAGATTTATCAATATTATCAATACTTACCAAACAGGAAGAAAGAGACTTGAAACCACTGACCAGAAATGGGCTGAACTAAATCAAAGCATATGTCCCCACCATTTGATAATGCCAGGGTGCCGTGCACCATGTCTGTCATCGTCGTCGCCCCCACCCCCCACCCGTCTGCGCTCCATGCGCTAGAATCCAGTTCGCAAGCTTCGGGCAAGGGGCTGGAGGTTGAGGAAACACACGCAGAGACAGACCAACACACTGCCTCCAATCAGTGGTACAAAAGCCCTTCTTTAATAGCACCATGGAGGCTTAAGTACCCTGCAGTCAATGGCCAACAGGTGAAAATCCCATCCTCTGATCCTCTAAGCAAAGCATAGCTTTTAGTAACTTCCATTAGAAGGCTCTAGCAGGTAAGAGCAGCTAAAGGCCAGGAATCAATTAGTCCCAACAAGATTTATCAATATCATCAATACTTACCAAACAGGAAGAAAGAAACTTAAAGAGAAACCACTGACCAGAGATGGGCTGAACTAAATCAAAGCATACATCACCACCATTTGATAAGGCCAGGGTATGATATTTCTCGTGATTTGACTGACTGGGCTTGAACCATTTTGACACCTACAGAAAAAGGAAGTTCTAACAGCAAGAAGCCTAGGAATACTTCTGGGGGGTGAGGGGGGAACAGTACTAAGAGATCAGCGGAATGGAGCTAACCCTGATCCGTGTCCACACTGAGCATGAGACCGTGCCATAAAAGGTTGACCCAGTTTTTAGAGGTCAACATTAAAGAACAAGTATTTCGGTGCAATGTGGATTTTAAGTTCTTGGAGATAGACAAAGGGAGAGAAGGAAAAAACAGGCTAAAACACAACCCCATTTGAGACCAGTCTTTGCTACATAGCTAGATCCTATCTTAAAGCAACCTCCTCCATCTTTAGGGTTCCTGAATTCAGTTCTGACTTGGAACTGAAGCTGGAGTTTCAGCTTGGGTGATCTAATAACACAGTGTGGGGAGAGGTTACCGCACTCAAGCTTTAAGGGGCTTGCTGCATAGTGCCCTGAAATTCCAATGCACATGCCAATCACCTAGGCATCTCATGAAAGTCAAAATTCAGCCCAGTTAGTTTGAATAGGGCCAGAGATCATGTACTTCTAACAAGTTTCTTGGAAATGCCCATAACAACAGGAGGAAAGTTGAATAAGACTCTCTAAGTAGAGGAGCAGATTTCAATAGCACACAGTTGTCAGGGATAGTTAAAAATAAAGTCACAATTATTGAGTATTGGGTAATTAAAAACTGTCAAGTTCCTGCCCTATCAAATCATTCAGTATAGTGAAGAATATGACATATCAGTTTTCTCACAGACTGAAAAATACCTATATGCTACTGAGAAGACAAAGGTGTTTATGACGTGGTAGAGGCTTGTAATATCATAAGCATAAGTCTCTGCTAGAAGAATGTGTGTGTACATCTTGTGGAAGGGAGAGTCTGGAATCACACACAATCATCCTGTTCTAGTATATTACAAATGTTAGTCTTCAGAACTGTGTCTGTGTAAAAATCCTTATTACTGGATGGATCAGAGTTAAGAAGGAAAATTTTTATCTTTTTATTATTTTATTTTATTAAAAAAGAAAACAAACTATCTTTTTTCATTTTACATATCAATCTCAGTTTCCACTCTTTCCCCTCCTTCCATCCCCTCCACCTTCCTCCCCCACCCCCATCCACTCCTCAGAGAGGGTAAGGCACATTGCTTTGGGGAAGATCCAAGGCCCTCCTTACTATATCTAGACTGAGCAAGGTATCCATGCAAAGAGAAAAGGTTCCCAAAAAGCCAGTACAAACAGTACGGATAAATCCTGGTGCCACTGCCAGTCTGCCCCAGCCATACACCTGTCACCCACATTCAGAGGGTCTAGTTTGGTCCTATGCTGGTTCCTTCCCTGTCTGGCTGGAGTTGGTGAGCTCCCATTAGCTTAGGTAGACTGTTTCAGTGGGTGTACCCATCATGGTCTTGACCTCTTTGCTCATATTCTCACTCCTCTCATATTTGACTGGACTTTGGGAGCTCAGCCCAGTGCTCTTCTGTGGGTCTCTGTCTCTGTTTCTATCAGTTGCTGGATGAAGGTTCTGTGGTGACATTTAAGGTAGTCATCAGTCTGACTACAGGACAAGGCCAGTTCGGGCACCTTCTCCACTACTGCTTAGGATCTTTGCTGGGGTCATCCTTGTGGATTCCTGGGAATTTCTCTAGAGCCAGGTTTCTTGCTAGTCCCATAATATCTCCCTCAATCAAAATATCTCTTTCCTTGCTCTCAACTCTGTCCTTCCCCCATCTCGACTATCCCATTCCTTCAAGTTCTCCTCCCCCCTTCTCCCTTCTTCCTCCCTTTCTGCCCCCCTTCTTCTCCCACCCCCATGCTCCCAATTTTGTCAGGAGATCTTGTCTATTTCCCCTTCCCAGACGGATCTATATATTTTTCTCTTAGGGTTCATCTTGTTACTTAGCTTCTCTAGAGTCATGGACTATAGGCTCAGAATCCTTTGCTTTTCAGCTAGTATCCACTTATGAATGAGTACACACCATGTTCATCTTTCTGGGTCTGGGTTACCTCACTTAGGATTTTTTTTTCTAGTTTCATCCATTTGCATGCAAATTTCTGGACCTGATAGAAGACAAAGTGGGAAGTAGCCAACAATGCACGGGCACAGGAGACCACTTCCGAAATATAACACCAATAGCACAGACACTCAGAGCAAAAATAAATAAATGAGACCTCCTGAAACTGAGAAGCTTCTGTAAAGCAAAGGACACAGTCATTAAGACAAAAAGGCAGCCTACTGAATGAGAAAAGATCTTCACCAACCCCACATCAGACAAAGGACTAATCTCCAAAATATATAAAGAACTCAAGGAATTAGACATCAAAATTCCAAATAATCCAATTTAAAAATGGGATACAGATCTAAACAGAGAATTCTCAACAGAAGAAGCTCAAATGGTTGAAAGACACTTAAGGAAATGTTCAACATCCTTAGCCATCAGGAATGCAAATCAAAATGACTCATACCAGTCAAAATGGCTAAGATCAAAAACACCAATAATAGCTTATGCTGGAGAGGATGTGTAGTAAGGGAACACTCCTTCATTGCTGGTGGGAATGCAAACTTGTATAACCACTATGAAAATCAGTATGGTGGTTTCTTAGAAAATTGGGAATCAACCTACCTCAGGACCCAGCAACACCACTCTTGGGTATATAGCCAAAAGATGCTCAATCATACTACAAGGAGATTTGTTCAACTATGTTCATAGCAACATTATTTGTAACAGCCAGAACCTGGAAACAACCTAGATGCCCCTCAACTGAAGAATGGATAAATAAAATGTGGTATATTTATGCAATGAAGTGGTAAATTCAGTGGTAAAAAAAAAAAAAAACTCAACGTGAACCTTAGGTTTTGCATGCAAAAAGTTTACCTTTTATTTTAGCTAATTTTAACTGTTAATTTCAACACTAAAAAAGAGATGAACAGCTACTATTTTTTATTAAAAAAAGAAAGAAAGAGGGATAGAGGAACAGTTAGTGGTTAAGATCACTGGCTGCTCTTTCAAAGGACCTGGGTTCAGTTTTCATCACCAACATGGCAGCTCACTGTAAGTCCAATTCCAGGGGATTGATGCCCTTTCTGGCCTCTCTGAGCACCAGGCATGGGTGATGTGCAGAGTAACATGCAGGCAAAACACCAACAGAGATAAAAACAAATAAAATTGAAAAGGAAAAGACGACATTGTGGAGATGCTTTAGACGTGATTCCATGGAAGGAGAACTGATGCTCATGCTTACGTGCATCGGCTAGCGCAAGAGATGCACTGGACTCTATGATAGTAAGGCTCTTCCTTTCATCCCAAGATTGAGGTATCCCGAACAAGAACTAATCCGTCCATTTCTTAAGGAGTTAGAGAATTAAATGGCTATAACTAGGCAGCCATTTCTTTGATAAGATTTTCCTAGAAAATAGACTCTAAAATGTACCAACTTAGGAGTCTGTAGAGGTGGCTCTCAGGTAAACTTCAAACGTGAACCTTGTCCAGGTCCTCAGTACCCACGTTAAAGCAATGCAGTATTGGGAAGCAGAATGCAAGGACCCAAGGATGAGGACAAGGGAGTGCGCTCCTTGCTCAGCCAGTCCTGCTTTGCTATGAGGGCTCCTATCACAGAAATTAAGAAGGAGAACCATTAAGGAAGATACCCAAATCAATCTCTGACCTCCACATGCACATTCGTAGGCATGTACATCTATACATACATGGAAGCATACATACAAAATGTATTAATTTTATTTATAAAGTTAAATTTATTTTCTTCCATGGGTATTTTTGGAAGTGATTATGCAACACAAAAGACTTAAGGTATTTGCTGGTTTTCTTCAACAGGCATCAGAAAAAAGTAAGTCACAGAAAAATACTAAGGAGTAAAAGTTCATATTTTCAAGAGACAATATTCTTAAACACCTGAAAATTTTTCAATTGACATGTAGGCTCTAATTCTTACATAAAAATAAGTTCTATACATTTTTATCTGAATATAAAGTCAATAGAAAATAAAGCATTCAATACATATACGTTGAAGCTATTTATTAACTTGTTCTACTTGGCATCATTATCACTGTTGGAGCTGTCACTGTCATAAATGGAAATGTTTCTAATTGAAGACACCATCATATCTGCAATGCCTTTTTTGGGGTTTTCTTCCAAGTCAGTCTGTATTGCACCAACTTCTGATAGTTTCCATTCAAGTTCTACAATAGATTAAAAACCCACCATTAAATTGAATAAAAATCTCGGGGAAATGGAGATAAATTTCTCATCTACATGAAACAGAAGTTGACCTTAATAAAATTAGCATGGAAATTGATGATGGTGAGAGGGCTCACCAGATAAAGGAGCTTGTCACCAAGTCTGACAGACAACCTGAGATTGATCCCTGAGACCCACATGATGAATCTTCTAATGTTATCCTCTGACCATGTGCACATATTGCATGCTGTTACACACACACACCATGCACACTATGGCATGCCAGTACACATATATAGACACTAATCACACTATGCTATGCCAGTATACATACACAACCTGCACACTATGGCATGCCAGTACACACACACACAAATCACACTATGTCATGACAGTATTCACATACATACACACAACATATACACTGTGGCATACCATTACACACACACACACACACACACACACACACACACACATGACCAAATGTAAAAATTAATAGTGTGGAAGTGAAGATCATTTAAACCTGAATGATAAAATGTTACACTATCAGAATTACATTGGGTAAAGTTATTCTTAAAAGGGGAAATAGGTAAATGTTCATCTTAAAATGAGTAAAATAAGGTCAAAAGTGTATACCAAGAAGCTAATATGCCAGGTGTGGTGGTTTGTGCTGTAATCCCAGCATCTGGGAAGCTGAAGCAGGAGAACTGTCACAAATTCCACCCAAAGAAGGGATATAATAAAAGATCTTGGTAAAAATAGGAAGACAAAAGTGATGGAGATGACCAGGAAAATCAAAATTGGACCTTTGGAGCATGTCGTGGCCCACAAAGGGAATGGCACTATTAGGAGGGACAGCCTTGTTGGAGGAAGTGCATGACTGTGGGGGTGGGCTTTGCTGTCTCCTTTGCTCAAGCTTCCCTCAGTGTGATGACACTCAGTTCATTTCCTGTTGCCTGCTGATCAAAATGTGGGAGTCTCAACTCTAGCACCATATCTGCCTTCACACCGCCATATCCTACTATTTTGATAATGCAACTGTAAACCCAGCCCATTAAATGTTTTTCTTTATAGAGCTGCAGTAGTCATGTGTCTCTTCACAGCAACAGAAACCCTAACTAAGAACAGTCAGTAGCTGAGGGCTGGGAAGAAACACTTACAAGATAAGGAAGAAGTCAAGTAACAAGGAATATATATGGGTCATAACCAAACTGACAAGATACCGTCATTTCCTGGGCATTAGATGGGCATGCACAAAGTAAAGTCCCTAACTAAACAAAGCTCTGGTACAGGGCGAAAAACTAAGTAGTTCATAAAGATTAAAACTCAATATTTAAGAAATAATGGACTATTGGGAAGAGACACACACCAATATACCTGAAAATAATTTAGACAGTTACTAGAATTTTTTAAAAAAAATATAAATTACCAAAACACAACACTAACTTCAGTGTTCTATTAATATAGGGATTGAAAAAAATACAGCAGAGACCTCAGAAATAAATTGGTGCATGTAAAAATTACAGCAGAAACAGAAAACACCTCATCCCCTGCACCAGGATGGTTATTTTCAAAAACAAAAACTAACCAGTGCTGAAAGGGTCAGAGAGAACGTGGGAGCCTTGAACGCTGTTGGGTAGAGTGTGATGTGGTATAACAGCTATAGAAAACTGTATGGCAATTCCTAAAATAACTTATGAATTACTGTATGCAATCTGGCAATTGCAGTTCTGGGTATTGGCAGATGGATGGAGACAGGAACTGCAGCAGGTGTCTGCACACTGGCTTTCTTGGTAGCAGCATTTATTACAGATCAAAACAGAAGGACCCTGACTGTCCATCTAGCCTCAAAAAGAACGGAAGTTGCAAGGCAGGACGCACCTATCTATGCTTCTGTGGCCAGGAGTGCTGAAGCAGGAGGACTACAAGTTCAGGGCCAACTGGGACCATCCCACCTCAAAAAGAGATGTGTAGAATAGGATAAGGAGAACAACTAAGATTGTAAAAGTTCATATTTTACACACTTTGTAGTTTAAAAGTAAGTTTAAAAACAGTGGGAAATGAAATTTCAGTAAATGGCATTAGGGCAACAGAAAAAACTTAGATCCATTCTTTGTAATACTTCATTATAATGTTATTTAAGACCTAACCAAAAATAAAAATAATACTAAGAGAAAATATAGGGCGATATTTTTTCTTTTTCATCCTAAAAATATATATGATGGCTTTTAAAGGGAAGCATGATAAGTATAATTTAAAAAGGTTAGTAAATTTAAAAAAAGATTAGTAAGTTTGACTCTACCAATACAACTTTTGCCTGACAATAAAGTGAAACTAGACCCAGGTATGCATATCTAGAGCCTCGGCTACTTGAGATGCGAAAGGAAGATTGTTTGAGCCAGACTCTGTATCAAGAGAAAAGAAAGAAGCAGTGTTGGCCTGGAAGTGTAGCTCAGTGGTGGAGGTTGGGCTCAATCACAGATAATACATGTACTCAGAGAAAGGAAATTTGAAGTGGAGAGCTGCCAGGAACCTGTGTGCGACACCATAGAAGCAGTGGACAGAACTGCACAGACTTCTGCAATCCACTGAAAGAACACACTGAAAAATGAGCAAAGCAAAGGGAAGACACCAAATGACCAACATCTATGAAAGAACGCTAATCCCACTAGTATTCCAAATTTAAAGAGTGACAGGCTATTCTGTAGTGACATTATAGCGAGGGTAGAGCACTCACCTAGTGTGCATAAGGCCCTGCCCTGGGGTCAATTCCCAATATTGCCACACCCAAAACGATAACATTGTCTATTTGTCAGCTTGACAAAATCACAGCAGCAAAACAATTCTAAGGCCTGATAAGGATGTGGGTAATGAGAACTCTCTTACAGGGCTGATAAGAGGGAAGTCAACAGCATCGTTGGTAGAGCCTCAGTTTCTTTTCCTGCTGCTGCGATAAAAACACTCTGGCAAAAGAAACTTAAGGGAGAAAGGGTCTATTAGTGCACAGTTCCAAGTTATAGTCCATTCTGCCTGCAGTCAGGGGAGAGCAGTGGATACATGCATACATGCTCAGCGGGCTTTCTCCACTCCTACTGCAGCACCCTCTGCCTAGGGAGGGGTACCACCCACAGTAGATGGGGCTCTCCACCTTACTTAACATGATAAAGGCAATTCCCACTTAGACAGCCCAAAGTCCACCTCTCAGGTGATTCTAACTTATCAAGTTGACAACACCATCACAGGTACCTTCCTAGTGGAGTTAAAAAGTGGAAAAGACAAAGAGATTTTTCACAAACGGCACAAGGATGACAGAAAAAATTCATTAGAAAATAGCAATCAGCTCACTTTCCCTCAGAAAGGAAGTGACAAGCACATAAATTAAGGGGTATTTAATGAGAGAATGATAATATTTAAAGTTATTAAATCAGGTATAAAAGGAGGATGTTTGAAAAATTATTGTTAAGCTTAAAAACAAGGTTGAGGATCCTATACTGCAATTTACCGAACAGTTTCAATTTTAAATACAACCATTCCTTACATTTCTCTCTGTGTGCACACGCTAAAATACATATATATATTCTCACATGCACATTATGGCTAAAGTACAAGTAAATACTCAAAGCATAAATACAGAATAGTCATATGACCTAGCAATATAATTCTGGGTTTATTTCCAAAATTATTGAAGAGATGATTTGTACATCCATGTTTTCACAGCATTATTCATGACAATCAAAAGGCAAAAGCAATGCAAGTGTCGACTGAAGAAGGAAGTATGCCTGCAATGTAGCTGTTAGACACGGGGCACTGTGCAGACTTCAGGAAGGAAACCAAGGGATGAATGTTGATAATGTAATGCTGAGTGATCTCAGACACAAAAGAAAAAAGGAAAACGTATTATCCCACTTCATGATGTGTCTAAAACCATCAACTTCATAAAGACAGACAGCATATTAGTGGCCTCCAGGGGTGGGAGAGAGGGTAATGGAAGGCTGCTGTCTAATGGGCCCAGAGTTTCAGCACACGAGACGGTAAGAGCTGTGGATAAGGATGCAGGTTCCAGCAACACAGCAATGTGAATATCAGTGTCACTGAAGGACATAATCTAGCGCGATGATGCTAAACAATTTCAGCTTCACAAAACAGAAAGACATTTAATCAGTCCGGGGACACATGGTAGGATAAATGGAAATGAGGAGAACCTTAGGAACAGGGTTTGGAATGGAAGGTGGGGAATTTAGGTAAAGGTAGAGACTATAGGAGAAAGTGTGAGCACAAAGCTCACTGGGATCTTCAGTGACTAAGCCCAGCCCAACTAAGGCAGGCACTACCCAGGACTGAGAAACAGGTGAGGAGGTGGACTGGATTCTAAACGAGATGGTTTGCATTTTAAAAGTTATTTTAGTCAGGCACATTAAGAATTTTAGGCAAAAAGTATTACGATATTCTAAGCATGCAGACAGGAAACCTGATCTGGAGGTATTTTAAAAGGGAACTGAATGGGGGCTGGAGAGAGACCGATCCCAGCCCCACGTGGCAGACCATAAATGCCTGTAACTCCGGTTCCAGGGAATGCAACACCTGTTTCTGGCTTCCATGTGCAACAGACATGTACATTGGCACAGGGACACACACACACACACACACACACACACACACACACACAGAGGTAAACACATACATGCTAAAATAATTTTTAAAAACTTTAAAAGAGAAGAAAATTAAGGTAGAAATTTTGTTTCAAAGAAATAAACTTTCATACTTGTTCCTCTGGAGAGCTTTTTAGTTGTTACTTTATAAACATTAAAAAATAACATCATTACCTTCTAGCTTGAGATTTATCCCTCCACATTCTATAATTCCGATGAATTTGCCTTCTATCTGACCATTTTTATAAACAAAAATTGTTGGTAAACAGTTGTCATGGTAGTGTTCAATGCAGCTATTCACGATGGCTTTAAGAAATTTAGTTTCTGGGAACTTTCTTGCTAGGAGGCTAAGATGCTGGTTAACCAATGAGCACATGGGGACGCTGAAAAAGAGAGTGTATAAAAGAATGTATTCAGAGTATTTCAAATGCAGATTGCTCCCCTTAGTCTAGTAAAGTAAGGGAATATCTATGGCAAAAATAGAAATTTACCTCTTATATAAATGCATATTTGTACCCTAGGAATGATGCTGGTGCCCTGGGAATTGGCATCCTAATGTAAGTGAACTACATTCTACTTAGCATTTCTTTAATCGCTTAGCATCCTGGGTGGAAGAAATAGGAACACAAAGAACAGGCATGTCTAGGGACTCTGGGGCAGTCCTGAGCTGAAGTAAAGAGATCCAATTGCACAGGTGCTCACATCCAGAGTGTGTTATCTCAGACTTCTTTGGCTTTCGGAGAAACTTCACCCACAGTCTTCCACATCCTGGATGCCGGTGTCCGGAATTATTTTTCATCTAAGATTTAAAGCTTATTGAAATCAGAATCCCAAACTTCCCATTCTTCCGGCTCCATTCATCGCAGAAGTCCCGCCCCACACACTCTCCCCCCCCTCCATCCCTTCCTCCTAGTCTCCCACTCTGAGCTCAGCACGTGAGCTCAGCACTGACTTCCTGCCACCCTGCGCCCACACACCTCCACTTTCTTCCACACTCCTTAATTTTATTCCGTTTCTCTCTCCTATGTTCTCACTTTCCCTTCTCCAAAGAATTTCTCCACTTTACATAAACATATTAAGGCTCAAAATCTTGTTTTTTTTTTTTTTAAAGAAAACCTCATAACTTCACATCCCTTTCTAATAACCATGTTCTTTCCTTGTAGTCATAACCAAGACGAAAAGGGGTGTGTGTGTGTGTGTGTGTGTGTGTGTGTGTGAAAAACTAAACAAAATCTGCCCTCTTGTGCTTCTGTCACTCTGTTCTTGGGATGCTCTCTATTGGTTTCTGTGATGCCATGTTCTGTTAACTTCCTTTTGACCTCTGACTTCCCTCTTCTGTCTCCATGTTAAATTCAAATATTTTTCCAGGCAGCTAGTAGATGTCATTTCTCTTCTTTATCCAACTCCATGCTCAAAAGGTAGAAAAACAAACTGATATTTTTTTTGATATTTCTTAAATTGGCTTAGACCAAAAATCTCTCTACAATGTCTATTCAGTATCAAGTCATATCAACTATACCTCCTTTTTAAATTGCTATCTCTTCTCTTTGGCCATCACTTCACTGGCTCCTTATCTGAGCTACATTAAGCTACCATAAATCTGTTTCCAGATTTGTTACTCATATCTATCCTTGGCCCTACTTACAAAGAGGACACAACATGGAAGTGTCATCATGGAACCTTCATGGAACCGTCATCATAGAACCCTCATGGAACTGTCATCATATAACCTTCATGGAACCTTCATGGAACCGTCATCATAGAACCTTCATGGAACCGTCATCATAGAACCTTCATGGAACCTTCATGGAACCATCATCATATAACCTTCATGGAACCTTCATGGAACCATCATCATAGAACCTTCATGGAACCTTCATGGAACCGTCATCATGGAACCTTCATGGAACCATCATCATAGAACCTTCATGGAACCATCATCATAGAACCTTCATGGAACCGTCATCATAGAACCCTCAGGAAGTGTTGTGATATACCCCTCATGGAAGGGTCATCATAAAACCCTCATGGAAATAAGTCAGATTGCCCACATTGCCCAAGCTCAGGAAACTCCAGTGGCTCCTCCTCACTGGCATAGAATCTGAACTCCTTCATGTCCCTTCAGAAGGTCTTCATAATGCAGACACTGCTTTCCTGTCCAGCAGGTAGTCTGCCTGACACTGCATCACCCTGTATGACTGGGGCAGATCTAATACTCCAAACTCTGGAAGTACTGTGATACTTTGGACTTCTGAACTTCTGTTTATGTTGTACAGTTCATCTAAAATACCTCACTCGAGTCTGTCTACTTTCCCAACCTAAGAAACTTCTTTTCTTTTCTGATGCCAACATCAGGATGAGAACTTGCTGTGTAGTTATTTCCTCAGGGTTGAAACATTTCCCCCTGGAAGAAGGGAAGCTGGAGAATGACAAAACTCAGGAAGCTATGGAAATTTGGGGGGGCCAGGAAACCATCAAGATTTACAGATTTAGAAAGCCCACAATTGCAAGACTCCTAAGCCTACAAGACCCTGGGAATGGAGCTCCGCTGGTGCATGTCAAACACGCAGGAAGTCCTGGGCTGGGTCCCCACTCATTTCAGAATGTTGGGGGGTGGGAGGAGGATCAGTAGTTCAAAGCCATTTTTGAGGTCAGTTTAGTGGGGTGTTGGGGGGGTATATAGGAGGTTTAGTTACCAAACACTCACCTCTTTTCTAACAAATGTGGCATTCTTCAGATTGGAAATGAAAATATTTTAGTATACTTAATTTAATCCCTAAAGATAAAAGTTCTATAATGTATTCATACATAATACATGTTCCTTTCTCTTTAATACTCCTCATCGTAGGCATCACAGACCCTAAAGCTAGGAGCGTTTTTAAAGCATCATGGCACCAACAGTCTGAAATACTATGGTAATAATTACCTTGATCTGTACAGATGAATTACAACCCACAAATCCTTTTCTGCATTTGTAACTTCATTCACATACTGATTTCCAGAAATTTCTCTCAATTCCCCAAATTTTTGTTTCTTCTTAAGTGCTTTCCATTCCTGTAACCGTTTTTCTCTAGTTAAAACAAAAATGTTAGATAAGTATCATATTCTTTTATTATGTATTTATTTATTATTTATCTCTTCTATGAGTTTATTTGTTCCAGGTGCTTGCATGTGCCTAAGGAGACCAAAAGGCTTTGGATTCCCTGTCAGTGGAGTTACAGGCAGTTGTGAGCCATCTGATGGGGGTTCTGGGGACTGAACACTTTAGCATATGCACATATGCATGTGTGTGCCTGTGTGCATATGAACACGGGTATATGTGCATACCTGTGCATGCTATTGCACATGCGTGGAGAACAGAGAACATCTTGTAGTTGATTCTTTCCTTCCAGCAGGTGGGTTCCAGGGGACAAATTCAGGTCATGGGGCTTGGCAGAAGGCACCTCTGCCCACTGAGTCATCTCAGTGTTCCTCATTTCCTGCGTTCTTGAATCTAGAACTTCACTAATCCTTTAAGGAACACTCATTTCAGAACTGGCTGGTTCTGAGAAGGAACAAACACTTGCCAAACAGCACATTCTTCAAATGCAAGCCAGCCAACTCCGAAAGCACATCCTTGGTCATTTTTTATTTTCTCTTAGTTTTTGAAGCAGGATTGGCTATGTCCCTGAGTCTGGTCTCACACTCCTGGGCTCCTCCCAACTCAGCTCCCAAGTGTCTGGGGCTTTGGGCATACACCACCATGCCTGGTTTCAATCATCTTTTTTTCTGTGGCTGTTTTTTTTTTTTTTTTTTTTTTTTTCTTACAAGGCTCCCTGCCCTAGTCATCCCAGAACCTGGTACCAGATAACTAACAACAAACCTAACTCAGAGCCCACCAAAATGATTCAAACTAGCCAATCATAAGCCTCTTTACCCCGCATTGCATGTTCTTTCCCACAGAAACCACAACGAAGGCTGTGTCAGAGATTTTTCCCTTGCTGCTTTTGATCCTGACCTATTCAGGTGCTTCCTTTTGTGGGACCACATGCCAGGGTACGCCCCCTTGTCCCCGAGAAAGGTAACTTTTCAGTGGCACCCGCCTCCTGATTATACTTGTAGCAAAGTCAACAAAAACTCCTGCGCACACTTTGGAACACATTGGCCTCGTTTCATACGTGAAGCATGCCAGATGACGACTCACTTTACGTAACAATGAAGTCAAACACAATGAAATCCAAAGAGAATGATGATGCAGAGCTAGGTCTACCACTAGGCACCTTCTTAGAGGCACAACTATCAGCTTCTCTCTTCTCACTCATTCTCCCTCCCTAGTTCACTGGAAAGGTTAACACGGGTTAATCCTGCCACCAGGAAGACACTGTTGAGTGGCCTGCAGCTTTCTCTTAGCAATCAAATCAACTGTGACTCGTGTACATAGACAGAAAACCCTCCAGCTATTTTAAGCAGAAAGGAAATTAAGTGCTTTGCAGACTTTCTGAAAAGGCGGAAAGAGCAGGCTCTAGGCTGATCAACCAGGAATGACTCCCAGGACAACACTGCAAAACTGGTCTGCCAAGGCGTCTTTGCCGCAATCCAGAAACTGGGGAATCTGGATTCCAGTTGTTGGCCCACATATTACATTACTCTGAGACTCAGAGAGGCACAATAACAACCGCTGGCACTAGGAACCAGTCTCCCTAGCAACAATCTGAGGATGAGAAAGTGCTGCCAGAACAATGGCTCCAGAATTATGACGCAAATTCTAGGTTCAGACCACTTAAGTGAATGCTACAGGCTTTTCCCCCCACTGCTTTCTCCATGAATTTAGCTTTGGACCCAAATATCCTGTGAGTGTGTTAGCAGAACCTGAAACCCATTTGCTATCCTTGTTGCAATGGAGTTTGGGAAGAAAGTAGCTTTAGCTCCTAGCTTCTGTGCTACCATGACATGCATAGCTCCTAGCTTCTGTGCTACCATGACACGCATCCAGAGAAAGGAACGCATGTCAAGGAAGACAGTCTAGTGTATCTGCCACAAAAATAGACTGCAGATACATTCACAGTGATGTTTAGGCTTTCTTCTCCCTTTTAGCTACAGGAGCCTCTGGGTTCAATTCACTTGCTATTTCATAGCTGGTTACCTACCAGATGGCATTTTTGTCTCTAATTTCATGAATAAGATATTTTTCACTTCTTTATCTTAACCCAAGGCTTTGCTAGAACCTAATTATCATTGTAGATTTCTCTTCGGTGGCTTGCAGGAAAATTGCATTTGCCAGCTTCCATGTGAGAGTAGATGGTAACAGAGAGGTGAGAGTGGTGTATCCATCTCTGGCTCTCAGTCCTAAAGTGTCCTGTGCTGTCTTCCACACAGATCCCTGACTCACATGGGAGGAGGTTCAGGATCCTAAGGTGATCTGGTCCTAAAGTACCCAGGCCACAGTCACTGCCTGAGAAAGAGCAGCTTGGGGGAGTATAGGAGATGGATCAAAACGTTAAGGGTCCATTACCATGATACAATTCAAAATACTTTCAAAATTTATTTTTATTTTATTTATGTGTATGGGTCTTCTGCCTGCATGTATATCCATGTGCCACTTGCATTCCTGGTACTCATGAAAGACCATGGAATACAAAAGAAGGTGTCAGATCCCCTGAAACTGGAGAGGGTTGTGGGCCTTCGTGTGCATGCTGGGAAACCAGATCCTCTGGAAGATCAGTGTTCTTAACCACTGAGCCACCTCTCCAGCTGCAATAAACTTTTGATTGGCACAAATAAATCTTGTATCTATTTGCAGTTACCTCCTACTTGTTCATTCCAAGATCTGGCATCTAGCAATCTGTTCTACTTATATAGCCTTTTCTGACTTATTTCTTTCTCTGATGGTATTTTCAAAGCTCATATATTTGGTATTCATAGTAGCTACAATGCCCAAGGCAACTTATGGAAGGAAGAGTTTAGATAATCTCCAAATGGCTTATGGTTCCAGAGGGACAAGAGTCCATCATGGTACATAAGTGTGGTGGCACACAGGCATGGCAGCCAGAGCAAGAAGTTGAGAGACCACACCCTCAACTGCAAGCATAAAGGCAGAGAGAGAAAACTGGAAGCAGGGCAAGGCTATGAACTCTCAAAGCCACCCCACGTGAGTGATGTAGTCCTCCCTACGGTGATGTAGTTCTCCCCACAGTGATGTAGTCCTCCCTGTGGTAAGTGACATAGTCCTCTCCATGGTGAGTGATGTAGTCCTCCCCACGGTGATGTAGTCCTCCCTACGGTGATGTAGTCCTCCCTACGGTGATGTAGTCCTCTCCACGGTGATGTAGTCCTCTCCACGGTGATGTAGTCCTCCCCACGGTGATGTAGTCCTCCCTGTGGTAAGTGACATAGTCCTCCCCATGGTGAGTGATGTAGTCCTCCCCACGGTGATGTAGTCCTTCCTGTGGTAAGAGATGTAGTCCTCCCCATGGTGAGTGATGTAGTCTTCCCACTAAGGCTGCACTACTTCTCCAAACATTATTGCCAAATGGAGACCAAATGTTCAAATATTCAAGCCCATGAGAAAAAAAAATCCTACACCTTTCATATTACAAGTGCAACACTCCAGGAGAATTGAAAAGAAACTGGACTAAAATGAAGACCATACCGGAGGGTTTCACAAATCCAAACAACCAAAAGAACGAATCAGAAATTTGAACAGTAGGACTATTGCTACTATTAACCCAGAAGCACAGATTAAAAACAACAACAACAACAAAAAAAAAATGAAGAAAGTATACAAGGACTAAAAGCCTACAGGCCACTGTCCAGAAGCTCAACATAATATTTTGGGAGCCCAAAAGCAGCAGATACAAGGAAAGAGAATATTTTCAGAATTAATGCCCAATATAATTAAAGACACAAGTCTAAAATCCAATATATTAGATACACTTCAAATAGGACAAATCCAAAGATAACCACATAGCAACACAGCACAGTCAAATTGTCAAAAGACAAAGGCAGAATCTTGAAAGAGCAAGAGAAAATCAAGTTATGGCCTAAAACCGGTTCTTAGTGTGATTTAACAAGCCAGTTTCTCAAGTAGCAATCCCACAGTAGCACAATACTTTACCTATATATTTCAATAGCTTTTATGTCTTCTTCATCAAATTCATCCTCAGCTTCTTTCAACTGTGCAAGGGTCATCTTCTCATATGGTTTAACTAAAACAAAAATTCAGGTCATCTAATGGTCTGAACATTATTTCTACTTTATAATCAACTTCTAGAAAGCAAAACAAACAAATGAAAAATCGATAACCCTAACAGCTTAGGTAACAGAAATCAATAATATCTTTAAAAAACTTGTAGCAACCAGCTAAAGCATGGTCACATGTTACAAAAATTGTAATATCAGCATTTTTGATCTCCTTAAAGTTCATAGAACTGACAGGATACTTGCGAGCAAAGATGAAGAATTAAATAGTACCCATAAATTTAGGTTTCCTCCAAGTACATGGAAATATTAATGAATAAGATCCTATATTGAATGAACAAAAAAGAAGGTAATTTCAAAGTAGAGGCATATGATAGAAGAAATCTCACTGTGTCTTATACACATATTTCAGCACTTTTTATTAACTGGCATGTGCTTTTCAACACACAAATCAGACATTTTAGGTGGCACTCTCCTAATTTTGAGAGGACAGGCAGAGTTTATATTAAACGATATCTAGTCCCCTCTCCCGGGTCACAAAGTGCATTTTTACTGCCTTCACTGCATTATCCCTCCATGCAGCCCACCAAATGCACACTGTACCCATTGCCTCCTTCTGTAAGCGTAGCACCATCTCTTCAATTTCATCTTTTGGTTCTTCTTTTGGAGGAAGAATGCCAAAATTTCTTAATATTTCATTCCATTCTGTATCTTCATTTGGATCCTACACACAAAAAAAGACAATCTATTAGCACAGTTTCACTGTACAATGTGCTGGCTGAGGGGTGGCACATCCAAATACAAAGCTGCCCATGGACTTCACAGCTAAGGTTTAGAGAACTACTTCTCCCACCAAGAGTGGGACTGCATACTTTGATTAACAGGACACATCTATCCTCAGTATTACAGAGAAGTTTATAAGAAGATCACGCATATCAGGAGGCTCACAACCACGTGTGGCTCCAGTTTCAGGGAATCTGATGACTCTGCGCCTGTGAGCACTGCATGCAAATGCTGCACATAGATTCACAAGGCACATACACACAAAATAAAAAAAAATCGATATTGAAGCCAAAGGTAAAATGACTTTAGCACACTTTGCGTGGGTCCACAAGCTCGACTCAGTTTGTGTCCTCTGGATTGAAACTTGGGTGCCACCAAGATGCTGGCCTCTCATTCTTCCGTTATGGACCCCAACACCAGACTCTTTGAAAGCATTGCCCATCAGAGTTTAGTTCAAAAATGATCATGAGAGGCAAAAGATATGCATATTATGGGTAAAAAAAATTTTCTTCAAACACTATGAAATTGATAAAAACTAATAGGACCTCCTGATATGCATTCTGGGAACCAAACTCAGGTTCTGTGAAAGAGCTGTAGGTGTTCTTAACCACTGAGCCATCTCTCCAGCCCCTTACGTTTTATTTTTAATTGGAAGTATTGTTTCTTTTATACAATATATTATGGCTATGGTTTCCTCTCCCTCAAATCCTTCCAGGCTCCTCCAACCCATCAACGTCACATCTTTAGAAAACAAATAGGCAAGCAACAAAACCAGAATAAAAAGAAAAGTATGAGAAACAGAAACAAATACACAAGAATAAGACCCATAAACCCCACAAAATCAGGAATCATAATATATAAGCAAAAGACCAGTAAGGTTTTCTAAAAAAGGCCTAAACAAAGCAATATGAGGCAAAATCATCTCCAAAATTCCACTGAGTTTGTTTTGTGTTGATTACCCACTACTGGGAACGGGGCTGCCTTTCAGTGTGTCTCATATACCCACGGAGACATCAGTGGAGTAGTTAGGGATGGGAGCTCCTGTCCACCTCCTCTTCTCAGCACTGGGACCCCTTCTGGCTTGGACCCATGCAGACTGTGTGCACGCTGCCACGGATTCTGTGAGTTCATATGTCCATCGGTCCAGTTGTGTTTGGAAGACACTATTTCCTTGGTATCTTCCATTACCTCTGGCTTTTATAATCTCTCCGTCTCCTCTTCCCAGAACCACAAAGGGATGGTTTGATGAAGACATTCTATTTAGGATTGAGTATTTCAAGGTCTCCCACTCTCTGCACATTCTCCAGTTTTGGGTCTCTGCATTTGTTCCCTCTAGGCAAGAGGAAGCTTCTCTGATAATGGCTGAGCAAGACACTGATCTATGAGTCTAGCAGAACGTTGTCAGAAGTCATTCTGCTGCTGTGCTCCTTTAGCAGAACAACAGCTCTGGTTTTCCCCTAAGGCCATGCTGTCTATTCAGGTTTTTGACCACCATCTATCTATCTATCTATCTATCTATCTATCTATCTATCTATCTATCTATCTATCCATCCATCCATCTATCTACCACCTAAGCTGGCCTACCAGTCACCATGCCTGAATATCAAGCATTTTTTACTTGGAAAAAATACATAATATGAAGATGACCATTTGGGGCATTTACAGACACAGAGCAGAACCTGACGAAGCTCAGCCATGCTGATGCACACCCAGCCTTATCATCCTTTCAGGGCTCTCCAATGCTCTTGCTCTTTTTGAGGCTATCTTGGGGACCCTTGAGATTCCACGTACATTCTAAGGAGTATTTTTCTATTCCTGCAAAAATGATGCTAGAATTTGACAAAACAAATTGAATCTATAGATTGCTGGAAGTAGTATTGATCTTTTGACATCTGTGATCTAACAAGGATCCTTGTGATTGGATTCCTGAGGAAGACAACATGATAGGAACCAAAGGGGGGAACCCAGGAAACCCAAGGGCCAGAAGAAGACATCTCCCAGAGAACAACAATTGTGAGCCAGACACACAACTGAATCTACATGCAGATATTTATTTATTAGCTTTTATATCATTTTGTAACATGGTGACAGGTGGGGCAGAGACAGATTGTGAATATATATTATTTCTGTTTTATTCCAAGTCATTACTCCTCCTCCTCCTCCTCCTCCTCCTCCTCCTCCTCCTCCTCCTCCTCTTCTTCTTCTTCTTCTTCTTCTTCTTCTTCTTCTTTTTGATTTTCGAGACAGGGTTTCTCCGTAGCTTTTGGTTCCTGTCCTGGAACTAGCTCTTCTAGACCAGGCTGGCCTCGAACTCACAGAGATCCGCCTGCCTCTGCTTCCGAGTGCTGGGATTAAAGGCGCGCGCCACCACCGCCCGGCTCATTACTCTTCTTTAACTAATTGTATACCTTTCCCTCTTAATGAAGGCAAGCATTTATTTCCAAGCTTTAAACCCAGGTAACAGTCCATGTTTCCAAGCAGAAACATGGGATATTTGGATACTTCCACTTTCCGTCTTAAACACTTCCCGGCAGCGTTTTATTTTTTTTATTTTTATTTTTGTTTTTATTTTCGAGACAGGGTTTCTCTGTGGCTTTGGAGCCTGTCCTGGAACTAGCTCGGTAGACCAGGCTGGTCTCGAACTCACAGAGATCCGCCTGGCTCTGCCTCCCGAGTGCTGGGATTAAAGGTGTGCGCCACCGTCACCCGGCTCGGCAGCGTTTTATACTTCTGTTCATGTACGTCTTCGGCCTCATTGGTTTATCCTTTGTGTTATGATAAACGGAAGTTTTTTATTGTTAGTACATAGACACGTCTTTATAAAAATTTTATGGTCTTCAACTACTTCCTGTAGACATTTTCAGAATACAATAAGCGCAATTGTTTCATAACTGGCTTCTGTCCATCCTAACACTGGAACTCTCTGCAGCGTCTTCCACTGGTTCAGGATTGCGCTGCCCTTGTTCTTTGTGAGTTCTACACTGTTGCTTGGCTTCTGCTTGCTCTCTTGGAAATTTCATTAGTGACAATTTGTTAAGACCAAACACAATAAAGGAAGGTTGGATTCCTGACCACTAAGCATCGAGGTGGCCTTCCCTGAATTTCCCTAGGCAGTGGTCCTACTCACCCTCCTGGTTGTCTCCCACCCTTGGGCATACCATACTCTTCAGTTCTTAGTCACTGTGCAATTGTACCCAAGAACAAAATGCAAATTTTATCCCTTTCATGCTAAAACTGGCTTTGGAGATTGCAAAAACAGGATGGGTGTGGATTTACTGCTCCAACACACACACACGTGTCTGAGTTCACAGCACGGAGGAACTTCTGGAGTAGTATAGACAAACACACAGTTGTTAATATGTATACTGCAATAGGGAATGAGTAAATACCAAGCAGTGGTCTGAAACGCAAGTTTGCTTACTATCTTTAGCTGAAACAGAGAAAGATGACAGGGAGGCGAGTTCTAGGGGAGGCTACAAAGCAGGGGGACTTGGTTCACCCCTGTCTATGCCGGGATCCTCTTTACAGGTAACATCCCGTTGTGAATTAGAATCAGCTTTCTGCTACACACAGAGACTGAGACCGCAAGTTGGAGATTTCTTTTTGGATGTCAATTTCTCTTTCAAAAGAATGATTTCTCTGTTTTCAGAGCTTCTCTTGTATTTGCTCAAAATACTTCTCATGCCTGAGAGGTTTGGGGTGAAAGCCTCTGGTCTCCTACCATCATGTAAGACCTCCTATTCTAGGTCCTAGGCACCTTGAAATTCTCCTGGTTTCCATCTTCCTCGCACGTCACCTCTCCGACACTCTCAGGGTTCCCTTGATTCTCTTAGAAGACGCTCTAGAAGTTTCGTCTGCAGTTCCCACTCCAGACGTTTCTATTTTTATTCAGTAGGAGAACTGGACTGGGTACTGTAGCCAGATGTTACTACCAGTTCTAGTCATTATATTTTTCTTGAAATTTTGTTCTCTGTCTCTGTCTGTCTGTCTGTCAGCTGTGTGGATCACATGTCCCATGACATACATGTGGAGTACATTATCTTTCCGTGGGTCTTAGGATCTCACTCAGGTCATGAGACCTGCATCATTGAGGTTGGGCAGCAAAGCGCTTTTTATCCATGGAGCCATATCATGTTTATAGAACACTTTCTGTACCTCACAGTCCCTTGGTGTTTTCTTTCCTTTAGCATTGCAAAACTTCTTAAAATAGATGACTGGAAAGAAGAGGAACCGTAGCCAATTCTTGGCTGTTGCATTGGGTATTTCTTTGGCTTTCTCTGCTTGAGTTACCTACAAGCTGTGTGTTGTTGATTTCAAAGAACAGTCCTTATACACTGAGCTGAACTGACTTGAGTTTTTCTTGATAAAACATTCTTCCCAAGAGACACAATACTATATTCTTATATATTCAGTCAAACTTCTCAATTGTTCTTATTTAACTCATCTAGGACTTCGTTGCAATGTTACTTAATATAACTGTTTGACTGTGCCCTTCCCGTCACTTTGACAATTATATATGAAATATTATCTAACAGAAATAGGGGACACAATCTCGTTCCACAAATGGTAATAGTGTTTTGCCATGGTGTGGTTACCTTTAATATTCTCTCAGATATGCTCTTACGGGACAGGTCCGTGTTTAAAGCCCAAGAACTGGCTGTTGAATACATCAGTGGAAAACAATAGTAAGGGAAAAGAGAGGTCAATGTGTTGCTGTTTTCTGTTGGTTTCACTTCAGCAGAATTCCTGAAAAGCCAATGCTGTAGAGTAGGACAGAAAGCAGAGCGGGACAGACTGTAGAATGGGACAGACAGACTGCAGAGCGGGACAGACTGCAGAATGGGACAGACAGACTGCAGAGAGGGACAGACTGCAGAGCTGGACTGAAAGGCAGTAGACAGTAGAGCAGAACAGACTGCAGAGCCAGGCTAATAGTACAAATACACTTGCTAATAACTGTCTAACGTGAGCGAACTTGATTACACACGAATTATGCTTAAAATAGCTTAATAAATTGTATGTTCCACAAAACTGCCCAAAGTAAGTATGGTAAACCAAACAAAAAAAAATCCCAATGCACTTCACAAGGGAGCATGTAAGGGAAGGCTTTCTTACATCGGAAAGTGCAGATTTTACTCTGAGAAAGGAGAAAAGGGAAGGAGCAAAGGAGGGAAGGAGAAAACAAAGGTGGATGCTCTTTAACTAAATTAAAATTTTATTATCAAGAACTCACAAATAAAAAACACCACCTTGTGAAATTACCAAGACCCAAAGTCTTGAAATGTATAGCTGTAATTTAACTTTTTCTATTTACAAAAATTTAAATGTCTGTGTGTGTGTGTGTGTGTGTGTGTGTGTGTGAGAGAGAGAGAGAGAGAGAGAGAGAGAGAGAGAGAGAGAGAGAGAGAGAGAGAGAGAGAGAAGACAGCAGTTGGGTCTCACTTCCCACCGTGTGGATCCCAGGGATCGAACTCGGGTTTTCAGGCTTGGCAGCAAGCACCTTAATCCACTGAGCCATTTTACAGGCCAATAGGTGCACTCCCTGCCTCCTTCTAAAAGAAAGTAAACAAGAGAGGATAGTTAAACCGAATCCACTTGGGCCAACGCTACTCCTTAACTCAAAAATATCATAGCATTTGGATTTCCGGGACTCAGAGGTAAAAGGCAATTCTGAAAATTGAGTGTCTCCTTCAGCCTCACATGGGAGTCATGAATATCGAAAACTGGTGTTCTCTTAAAACTAGACAGGAGATGCACAAAACAGTACTTAATAGAACCTAACTCCGGGGAGGGCCCACACCACTCCATTCCCGCCTGTCAGCTTGGAACTAGCCGGCTTATTCCACTCAGGGCTCCAAGGTCACCCACAGACCTGACCCTCACCTGCATGATGTTCTTTTATGCCCCTCACTAGGGCGCAAGGTCTCGGACTTCCTCCAGACTGGCATAGGGAGCCAGCCTGCTCTGGCTAGCGGTTTCTAACGCCCCGGGGGCGGGGCGAGGGTAACAGAACCTACTGCGCATGTGCAACGGTAAGCTCAGTTGCCAGGCAACACAGAGGCCCAGGGCCCAGGTGTGTGGACCCTGATGCATCAGGTCTACCAGGAGGGGGCTCTAGCTCGAGCAGTGGGGCGCCTGTTGGTGACGTGGTGTTCGTATTGCTATTCATTCCAACCTCCACCCCTGCCTTGTCCACTGCTCCTCAAGGTTGAATCCAGTATTCATGGAGGAAAAAAAAAATTTCTTGGGTGGTGAACCCTTCCGAGGGGTTCTTAAACTGGGCCCATCATCTGTTTGAAGATAAATTTTAAGGACTATTTTGGCACTTTCCGTAAGTTGTGAGTTTAATTTTTTGTGTCTGTCTTTTTAAATTTATTTTTAAACTTGGACCAAAATTTTCCCTCAGATTATCAATGAGACTCTAAGTTCCCCTGACACCACAAGCCCGTGGGTAGACGAGGAAGGAGCATGGAAGCTGGGGGATCGACCCGGGCTACATATTGTCTCAAAACAAAATCAAAACAGAACAAAAATCACTAGAAAAAAGGACCCCACTCCCTTTAGAAGCTCTGGTTTAGGTAGGAGACATAAACTGTTTACATTAAGGAAAGGAGTTTTTTTTTTTTTGTTTTATTTTGTTTTTGGTTCTTTTGAGACAGGGTTTCTCTGTAGCTTTGGTGCCTGTCCTGGAACTAGCTCGTGTAGACTAGGCTGGTCTCAAACTCACAGAGATCTGCCTGACTCTGCCTCCCAAGTGCTGGGATTAAAGGCATATGCCACCACACAAGTTTATGCACATGGTCCCAGAGATATACTCAAGAGAATTTTTTTTAAGCAAAAAAATGTACTTAGTGACACAATTTTAAACTTGAGTTCATCAGCGGAGCCATTCACCTACAGTGGTCAGTGTAGATAATTAATATAGATTCTACTGGCTTCTACACCCCAAGCACCCTCTAGGGTTTGTGTATGACACACTGGTAAGCAGAAACATTAATAACCTGTCCTGGTATTTCTGCTTTTCCCTCTTCCTCACTTTTACGTGAAGCTCCTTAAAATACACAAGCAATTCATGTCTATCCGGACTTTTAAGGGACCCTCCGACTGAATATTCAAGCCCCCCTCTCTTATTTTGACCAAAAAGGTAGGGGGAGGGCCTAAAAACACAAAATAGTAGATATTTTTTTCTCATATGCAATATATGGATATAGATATGAAAATAGAAGAGGGATTTGGGGGGGCAGGCAGTAGGGAACCAAGAAGGGTAGCAAGAACAGTGTGTGGGGGTAAATATGAACAAGAACAACTATAAATATGTATAAAATACCATGAGATATGATGTATGTTAACTAAAGAAATTATTCTAAAATCCAATTAATAGAACTACCGTGTACAGGCAGCTAATACCGCCCCATGCAACACGGCTTTAGAGTAGAGGACCCTCACTGCGCTAAGGCTCACCCTGCCAAGGCAATATGTTTTAAAGGAAGAATGTGATTTTTTTCTCTCAGTTTCCTCTTAAGTTATGTCTTCCCTAGCTCTTGGTAGGAAGAATAATCCAGGAGCTTTCTTCATGAAACATGTTATTGAAATTCCGCAGGTATGGTTATCATCAACTCCTGGAAAAGATGTTTTTTTTCCTGGTAATGAACAAGGTTGGATGTCCTCCACTGGTTACAAGGGGAAACAATCTCAGAGAAACTAATCACTGCCACTTGGCCAGGGAAAGCCTTCTGATACATTTGTAGCAATCTGAAATCTACTTTGTAATATAGAAATCATAGCTAGAATGATTTAGAACTAAGTCACAGCTCGAGTGGTTCCCACTGGTACTCTAACAAAGCTAGGCTCTATTTTGTTCTTGTTTCATTTGTTTGTTTTTTTAGATAGAGGCTTGCTGCATAGCCCAGGCTAGCCTTGGACTTGCCTCTGTCCCGCCTTAGCATCGCAAATGCTGCAATTACAGACATGGACCATCATGACAATCTGCAGTCAGAGCTGATGACCATCACGGACCTAATCTAAATTGGAAAACCTAAAATTGTTCAGCCAGCTTTCTATGAGTGAGTGTCTTACGTCAACACCTAAAATGTTTGCGTGTCAACACTATCGAGAGCTACAGGACCTACGGAGCTTCTTTAAGAGCGGCTTTGCTGTGCACGATTAATCATTGCAACATTCCATGAAAGGTTTTTAAGATGCTGCTTTATTTTCAACAAATCAAACATTTATAATCTCAACTGTCACGGAGAATGTTACAAAGCGGGGGTTTGCAACAGTAAATTTAGGAGGAATCATTTTTTAAAACAGAATGTAAGTATATTATATATCTTATCGCACTGTTTCGATGGAAAATCAGTCGACATCTGTAAAAAGAAAAAAATGAATTAGATTCACATATATGTGAGGTGAGGAATATGTACATATCATGCTTATACAGGCATTTCTATGAATATTTTGTTATAGTATAATAACATTGGAAATTGAGATATTTCCCAACTGTTCTTCAGCCTCCCTCTCTCTCTCTGTATTTCTTCAATTTATCACCTAATCACTCTCTAATGGCACTTTTATTCTACACATATGTGTGCCTAATAGTTATAATATTTAATAATATATTTAACAATGCGAAAGTAGTTTACTAGAGCTTATTAGTGCCAATAAGAATTACAAATATGTCAAGTTTTCCCCACATCCGCCTTAGACCATGGCGCAGTTCATCTGTCAGCTCACGGAGAAGCCCCTGGCACTGTTGAATGCTGCTGTGACCTAATCCAAGCCTCAGCCAGCCACATTTTGGCTCGGTACCAAGGATAAGTTGGTCTCCAACTCCTGCTAAGCTTCTTAGAACTCTTCAGATGGTGAAGAAATATCCCAAGTGCTGAAACTGAGGGTTTCCAAGAACTCACAGCTAAGGAAGCCATGCTGAACGGCTCTGTGGCCACTGAGGGGGATCTTCAGCAAATGTGACGTTATTGGCTGTTGTAGCTGGCAATTGGCCTTTTATATCTGATTTTGTTTAAGCTCTCATTTGCATGTTCTCGGACCACATGTGATGAGAATGATATCTTCAATAAAATAAGATCTATCAAAAAAGATTTTCTTGTTGGTTTACTCATCTATCTGCCATGATGTCATTCACATTTTATACTTATTTTCTTACTAAATGTTATCAGAATAAAGCAAGAGATTAGGTAGTCAGACGACAAAAGCAAGAGGGGAAATGACTGTTGAATTACTATTTTATTTGTAAATAAAATTGTGAGCAAAATAGATCAAGTAGACCCTAACAGAGGGAAAGGGCATAAAATTGCATTTTCTGAAATTCAGAGCAAAGTTCATACTAAATTGATCAGATTCTACCTCCCCCTGTGACTGTGTGAAAAAGGTTCTGGTGACTTTAACTCCTCTATTTGTTTTGATCTCTAGCTTTTCGTTTCTGTTTTTGTATATTTATAGTTTTGTCTTTCCTAACATAAGCTGGTGAAATAACTTATTTTTCTTCAAAGATCCAGATTTTTTGCTTTAAGGAATTTCTGCTTTGCTCATTTTCATTTTTAAACAATTTCTCTCTCTCTCTCTCTCTCTCTCTCTCTCTCTCTGTCTATCTGTCTGTCTGACTCTGTCTCTGTCTGTCTCTCTCTCTCTCTCTCTCTCTGTGTATGTGTGTAGGTATGGGTGTCTACTGATCAAATTGGGAGCTTTGTATATGCATGCTAGGCAAATACACTGCAAGCACTACACTGCAGCTAAACTAACCCTCCACAAAATAAAAAAAAAAAGGGCCTGGTGAGCATGAATCTGAAGAGTGGAAGAGGCATGGGAGGAATTGGAGGGAGGAGAGGGAAGGAGAGAATCATATACTACAGTATTCATATATGACATTCTCAAAAACTAAATTATATATATATATTTAAAAAAAGAAAAAAGTTTTTAGGACTTATTTTTAAGTTCACATGTTTTCAAAGTGTGG